ACCCATAACAAGAACAGTTTCTATTTGTCAGCTTCCAAAATAGACCATCCTTTATTAAAGTAGGATTAGAATGGAAGTACCATGAGAATAACTACTAAGAAGTTAAGCCAAAAATAAAATTATCTCCAGGCATAGCCAAATGCGACTGCAGAAAGAAAACCAGATCAATCATGCTGATGAGAAGAGAGCCCTGGCATCCTTTAACCAAGAAGAGAGGTGAAAGAGAAAAAACAAGATTCTGGCCAGTTTTTGAGAAATGGTGTACAGAAAAACTAAAGGGAAAGATGACAAATAAGGATTTTCTATTTGTTCAGCAGACATTTTTAATGACAAGAAAGAAAATATGGGATACACACACACAGATATATACACAAAAAGATTACTATGATCTGAAAGCTTCCAGTGCTACTGTGCCTTCTATTTAATTCCTTCAGTCCTTCATTAAGAAGCTGCACATTGATAGAACTTTAGCAAGTTCCTTGGGTAATTTTGGATTGCCCATAACTTTCTGGATGACACCAGCACTCTCTGGAGGACTCGTGCTGGGGGATGATCATTAAAAGCCACAGGATCCAGATGAGGCTGCGGTTGTGGCTGCATCCACCCCACCGTTTCCTGGATTTGGCATTGGAATGAGGAGGGAGATGTCTAGGCTGGCATGTGCATACAGTGAGACAACGAATTTGACCGGATCTGTACTGTTGGAACTCAACCAGGAGTTGGGAGGGGTGCAAGTTGTAGGGCTCCAAAATCTTACGACTATAGATTATCTATGGTTAAAAGAACATATGGGATGTGAACAGATCCCAGAAATGGGCTGCTTTAATTTGTCTGATGGTTCAAGTACAGTTGGACAATATCCATCATATCATAGATAAATTTTCACAAATGCCTAGGGTGCCTAAATGGTTTTCTTGGCTTCACTGGAGATGGATGGTAATTATAGATTTGCTTTGTTTATGTCACCGTATTCCTATTATGTGAATATGTGTGTGCAAATTAGTTAGTAGTTTAAAACCTATACATACTTAAGGTACTATACAAGAAGATATGTCAAAGAAATAATCAATCCTCCCATGTTTTCTTCTGTCTGCTACCTCTACAGCTTTTCTTCTTCCTTCCTAATTACAACCCTTAAATAGAATTTTTGCCTCATATCGAATTTACCGAGCATCATAATTCCTCCAGGTGGTAAAGATACCTCGAGACAAGTGCTGGGCATAGAAGCCACAGGGCATAAATCTGCAAAGAAGTAAAAAGCTAACCTTTGCAAACAATATGGCTTCTCTCTCACTTACCAACTTTACATTTCCCTGTATGGTCCCGGAAGATGACTGGTTAGCCAGAGACGGGTAAGATTCCTCAAGGGAGGAACAACCTAAGACAGGCACAGTCACAGGGGTGGGTGCCATCAGGTGAGAAATCGGGGAACAACAGTGGTGAAGCTTAGAACCTCACCGCCCCCCCCTGTTTTGAGAGAAAGCTTCTGCATCTGTGGATGTTTTATTGCCCTTTTCTAGCTCGGATTAGCACATAGTCTACAGGCACACACATAATCATCTACAATTGCTCTCTTACAACACTAAACTATGTTTTATACCTTTATCTTGCATCTACCTACCACTTCAAAATTTTATTAAAAATAATAATAATAATATTAAAGGGAGAAATGTGGGATCCACATATAAATCAAGTATAAAAAATCAAACGAATATTCATATTTGACCTGATGGTTTATAGTTCATAATGCGTGATCAAAACTTAAAGTTTCTGTGATGAATGCCCTTGTACTGTTCACCATGTAAGAATTTGTTCGTTATGCTTCAGAAGATTGGAGACTGACAAGAATTAGGCTTGAGATGGATTAATGATTGTGCATTGAGCATTGACCCTGCTACACAGAATTTTATTGTTGTTAACAACCATTTGATCAATAAATATGAGAGATGCCCACTCAAAAAAAAATTGAGGCTATGAATGAAATTGTACTGGGGGAGGTGAAATTGAGAGAAAGCATCATTGAGAGAGAAGCCTTACTCTCACACCATGGGACAGTACTACTATTAGCTCCATATGATGCCCACCCTCACCCCCACCCCAAGTGCACTCATGGGAAATTATAATTCATGTACATTGAGTATGTTATGAATGGACTTGTAGAAACTCACAGGAGGCCACTTTTGTTAATAGAATCAAGGCATTGCTGAAAAAAGCAAATCTGGAATTTGAAAATTGACATGTATAATACCATATATAGTCTGCTCTGGAAATTATGTATATTGGTTTTAGTTCCCCAAACCAAGAAACAAACCAAAAAACAGACTAACCCATAGACTTATTGAGTAGAAAATCTGAACATTAGTTCTTAAAATTCTTAATAGCTTACTTAAAAATGGTTTTCAAATATAAGCTATTGGGACTACTGCTATGCCAATGTAAGTACATTATTTCCATTAAGCTGTGCTTAGGTCACTATTTGAATACTGGAAATGATTGACAGTGATCTATGACCATGTTTTGTAAGGATGAAGCTACAATGATGTTGAACATATTTTAAGTCTGTTATGTAATAAGCATATTTCATTTTAAACATTATTAAACCTTTCTGTTTATTTTTGTATCTGTTATTAGGTTTAATCTTTTGCTTTGTATAGAACCTCCTCTCTTTATCACTGTTTTTATGGCTGCTATTGACTTAAATTTGGGAGAAAGGAAAAATTCTGAAACTAGGAAGTTGTGGTCTGTTTCCATCCTTTGTTCAGCTTGAGTTGGTAGATAACAAAAGTGAAAAGGGAGGGCAGTGGAAGTTTTGGCTGTTTGTGTTAAGATTGTTTTGAGTTGTCTTATTATGGGCCTAGGATAAGGATAAATTTAAATTACCTGAGTAATGGGGAAATTTGGACACTGCTGTTATAAAATACCCTCCTTTTCTAATAATTCAATGTAGGTTTTTCAAAGTTTTAAAATACAGCAGTCATATTTCAAAGTATAGGTCAAAAGTTTTACTGTTTGACATCTGCTCTAGGAAAATGTCTACCTTTAATCCACAACTAATGAACTAAAAACCGGGTTGGCATGTAATAACATTTAGGACCCCTGAATTTGAAGTGATTTCTGTCTATCATTGTTGCTGCCTAGCCTAATAAATCTCTCATTTCCAAAAGTTGGGAGAAAACTAGGCCCCAAATTTATGAATTGTAATTATCTAGTTTCCTGTGTAATAAAACCTAAATTTATAACCCCTACTTAAAAATTTCATTCTCTAAGAACATAGATTTTTTGTTAATGATTCCTGTAGACTGTAAGAGTTTTTTCTCTTACTTTTAGTAAGCAAGGTAGTTTATATGCAACAACTTCATGATATATGAATATTGTGGATTTTCAATGGATTATACTATGTCCTCCACAGAGGATATGCTTGTTGAGTCAGTGAAAATATATTATTTCAGAACTTTTAACATTTCTTCCATCAGCTTCATTTCAGCAAAGATCTGTCAAAGAATAGCTTTAGGACCGCATTCTTTGGGAAGGAGGAAGGGAGAGTAAAAGTGCTAACAGTATTTTCAGTCAGGAGAGTTACTGCTTGAAACTGTTCAGTCATCTGAGCCAGAAGTCAAATTAGGAGGGCTGCTGTATTTAAAATATATTTTTTGTTCTCCAAAGAGACATCTTGTTTTCCACCCCCTCACCTGTTGCTCTAATAATATTTTCCCTACTTTTATATTTACTGTACAAATGTAATGGTTATTAAAAGAAGAAATAATAATTACCCACTGCCTTACCACATCAACTGTCTTTAGTATTCTGTGTTCCCCTCCAGTGCTTGTCTACATAAATATATAGTCTGAGATGCCTGCAAGTAACTGCTTGTAATACAATTTTGTCTTTGGTGTTTTAAAACTTTGCAGCCAGACAAGGCAGCCTCACAGGGATGGCAGGGACAAGTGACGATCTGTGCGAAGATGGAAAGAAGACAAAAATAAGTAAGGGTGGCGACTGAACCTTCCCAGTTTCATTGCCTCCAATCCTCAAGTCACCTTGCTGCCGTCACAGTGTGGTGCTGTGGTGTGAGGCAGCATGGCCCACTTCAGTTTCAGAAAGTATTGTTGGACAGTGAGGCTGAGCTTGCAATAAATGGAAGGGGTCTGTGAGTAGGGAAACCCTTCAGACTGGTTGTATTAAGAGCTATAGAACTGTTGCCATTTTTCTTTTCCCCAGCTATTCCCGTAAAGAGATGTGTCTGGGCTGGAGAATTAGGCTCAAATGGGGGAACAAGCAGCCAAGTACCATTTCAGTTTGGTCTGATAGGTAAATTTTAGTAACTGACTAAGCTCAGTTTCTGTTTTCTAAGGCTGAGTGATACAGACAGTGATGGTAAAAACCTTTTAGAAAACAGAAAACAACTTACTGGTTACTCTGCTAACCTGTGATAGAAGTTGCCAAATAGAAAGTGAATAAATACATAAAGACAGAGCTGGTTAATGTGCACAAGTTTTATTATTCAATAAATATTCTGTGGTTTGATGTACGGTATAGTATTTTTAATACATTCTGATTAGAAATTCAATCCTAAAACATTCTCTAAGAATCAGACACAATTGCATTATAAGTCAGTTGACTCCATTAGAATATTTTTGGACTCAGTAATGTCCTTCAGCCATTTTCCTTTAAAGTGAGTCATTCCTGGTCTGCAGAGGAAGAATGTGGGGGCCTGGCCTATGGCCGAGGCTGAGCCCCACTCTAGCTGGACAACACCTTAAAGATGGCACCTGCTTCCTAGACACCACCCTCCTGGCCCTACAGCTCAGCGCATAAGGAAGTCTCCATGATTGGCTTGTCCCCATTTCCGTGCTCGTCCTCATAGCATGCTTTTCACATGTTTCCAGTAAAAGTGAACCTGGCGTGTGATCAGTCAGCTGATTGGTTGGGATATGCTATATAAGCTGCTGCCCTGGAGGAAGTGGATGTGGTTGTCGTTTTTTGCCTTTGCCTTTCCCTAGATGGATGCTTGGACGCCCATAATAAACATTCCTAACGAACCAGGCCTTCAGTGATCATTCTCCTGCCGTTGCCCTTGGTGGCGGGACACGATAGCTGGTGCCGAAACCCGGGACCAAAACCTGGCATCCGAGGACGGAGTGGAACTTCTCACCCTGCGGCGATCCGAGTGGACACCCTTTGGAAGAGCTACACAAGTGACTGACATTTTGGAGAGTGGTGAGTATGGTCAGGGACAAAGTGAAAGCAACATCAGGTCATGCGAATGCAAGCAATTGTGATGTGTGTGTGTTTAGCCTTTGTGTTCCTTGTCTTGTTCTGTCTTAGTCTGTATATGTTTCTGCGTTTCCTCATGAAAGAATAAGAGCGCTGTGGAAAGTTTGCAGGTAGAGTGACTTAGACTAAAGTTCGCGGGAAGCGACGAAAACCAGTTAGCGAGGACTCTCAGGCTGTAATGAGACTCAGTTCAGGGGTACGAGCGCGGGCGCACGTAACCTCAACTTAGAATAGAGTCAACCTCCTTTCCTCTGCACTATGGGTTCAGAGGTGTCTAGGATGTGGGCAGAGAAACCACTCCGGGCACGCCTAAGGACTAATGGAACTCCATTAAAGGCTAAAACCGGGAGGGCTTTCTTACATACTGTTGAGAAGCATGCACAGTGGCTTTTGGATGAGGGAAGGATCACTGCCCCCTTGTGGGAAAGACTAGGGAACGATCTGCGCAAAGCAGATCAAGTGGAACCACTCCCGGTAGGGAGATTCCTATATGGAGTCTAGTCAGGGGGTGCCTTAAGGAGGATAAGCCAAGCTGCAGAGAGGCTATAAGAGAGGGGGAGGAAGTCCTGGAAGATGTCCAGGAGGAGAGATCCTCCGCTAGGACCTCAGAGAGAGGGTCCGAGGGAGGAGGATCTACAGATGAGGAAGGGGAGCTATCAGGGGAGGAATTAGAAAAGCAGATAAGGAGACTTAGAATCGCCCAGAGGAAGGAACGCCCTCCCCCACAGTTATCCCTCCCTAACGCAGCTGAGGCAACAGAAAGAGGAAGAGGAGTCGGAGGACACCCCCCTCTCAACAACCCTGAAACCGTCCTTGAAAATGGTGCCATCAGCCCCCCTTCTTCCTCTGGCTTCATTTGCAGAACCTTCCCTGTATCACGTACAGCCCTGTCATCCTACGTGTGATTGCAATCAAGGGACTAGAAAGAGGGGGGTGGAGGGAGTGGCTGAGAGAACAAGGAAGTGCCACTTTCCCTGTATTTGAAGACCCTAATACACAACAGAGGTTTCATCAAGCCCTGGATTTCAAGGTCATTAAAAGTCTGAAGGAAGCATCAACAACGTATGGCCCCCAGGTAGCTTTCACTGTTTCTTTAGTGGAGTCAGTAGCTTCTCTTAACCTGACGCCGATGATTGGGCCAATGTAGCAAGAGCAGCCCTCTCTGGAGGTCAGTACTTTACATTTAAGACAGCCTGGCAAGAATTTTCACAGGACACGGCTCGGCATAATGCCGCAGCAGGTAATCATCAATGGAACTTAGACATGTTGATGGTCACGGGTCCATATTTGGGTCAACAGAATCAGGTAAGATTCCCCCCAGCGGTATATATGCAAAAAGCCATGGCTGCAGTGAGGGCCTGGAAGACACTGCAAGGCACAGGTGACCTACAGGCTCAGCTGTCAAAGGTGTTGCAAGGATCTAATGAGCCATATGCAGACTTTCTAGCCAGACTGATGCAAACAGCGGGTCACATATTTGGTGATCTTAATACTGCTATGCCCCTTGTGAAGCAGCTAGCCTATCAGCAGGCCAACAAATGGTGTAGGGAGGCCATAAGACCCTGGAAGAACAAAGATCTGAGTACTTATATTAAGGTTTGTAGGGACATTAATGACAGCGTGGTGCAAGGAGAGGTTATAGCCGCAGCCATAACTCAGGGATTGAGAGATGCTCGTGGCAGGTCAACCCCTCCTGGGGCCTGTTTCTACTGCAAACAAATGGGTCATTTGAAAAGAGATTGTCCCAAGTTGAAGGAAGCCAACGAACCTGCTAGCAGGCCGAAACCATGATTATGCCCGAGATGTAGAAAAGGAAATCACTGGGCCAGTGAGTGTAGGTCAGTGATAGATGTGGAAGGCTGACCGCTGCCCCCTCAAGGCCATAAAATGGGAGGAGGGGCCCTCCACCTCAGGGCCTGTAAATGTATGGGGTGGTTCAACAGATACCCAGAACTCACCACCCTTTGACAGATCAGGGAGTCACCCAGCACCAAGGGATCACAGAGAGCAACAGCAGGAAGCACAGGAGTGGACATCTGTGCCGCCACCAGACTCGTATTGATCCCCGAGATGGGAGCTCAAGTTGTAGAGTCAGATTTTAAGGGACCTTTGGCAAAAGGAGTAGTGGGTCTCTTATTGGGCTGGAGTTCTACTACTAAAGCAGGGTTAGTAGTACACCCAGGAGTTATAGATCCAGACTATGGAGGAATAGTTAAAATTATGGTCTCCTCCCCATGAGGAATCATGGCTATTATCCCAGGAGATCACATTGCTCAAATCCTTATGCTTCCTAGCAAACATGATTTGTATGCTCATAAAAATGCTGTTCAAGGACAGCAATGGTTTGGGTCTTCTGGGGCTCTGCTGGCTTGTCTTACATTGGATTTGGGAACCAGGCCCATGCACACCTTAGAGATCAGAGGTAGGCATTTCTCAGGATTGCTGGACACAGGAGCAGACCATAGTATCATAAAGGAAGATGAATGGCCAACGGAATGGCCTTTAAATCGAGCTGCACAAACCTTAAGAGGACTCGGGATAGCCCAAGCGCCCCTATGTGCTGCTTAACTGTCTTGGATAGACCAAGAAGGGCACAAGGGGATAATTCAACCCTTCATGCTAAACATACCCATGTCCCTCTGGGGAAGAGATGTACTAATCCAAATGAATCTCAAATTGACCACGGAAACTTTCTACAGCGAACAGTCTAACTGCATTCTGAAAAGACAGGGCTACCCCAGGACCAGTGGACTTGGGAAGAACTTGTTGGGTCGAGAAAAGCCCATTCCTTTGTCTAACATTACGCCCAGCAATTTGGTGGGCCCGGGCTTGGTTTTTCCTCGGGGCCACTGAAGGAGAACAGCAAATAAAGATTCAGTGGCAATCTGAGAATCCTGTGTGGGTTCCTCAGTGGCCCCTTTCTAAAGAGATGAAGGAAGCAGCCCACACTTTAGTACAGGAGCAGCTTGCTGCCAAGCATATTCAGGCCTCTACCTCCCCCTGGAACACACCTATTTTTGTGATAAGAAAGAAAACAGGGAAGTGGAGGCTTTTACATAACCTTAGAGCTGTAAATAAGCAGATGGTGCTTATGGGCTCAATACAACTGGGTTTGCCACTGCCCATGGCCCTGCCTAAGGATTGGGAAATGATAGTTGTGGATATCAAAGACTGTTTCTTTCCTATCCCCCTTCACCCTGAAGATTGTGCCAAATTTGCCTTTACCATACCTGCCATTAACCATGACCGCCCAGATGTGCGCTATGAATGGAGGGTATTACCACAGGGAATGGCCAATAGCCCCACTATGTGTCAACTACATGTGAGTAAGGCTTTGTCAGTTGTCAGAGGAAAGTTTCCTAACATGATCATCTATCATTATATGGATGACATCCTTTTGTGTCATGAGAGCAGCAGGGAGCTAGAGCAAGGTCTCTGTTTCTTGCAGTCGCACTTCCAAAAATGGGGCCTGGCTATAGCCCCAGAAAAAATCCAGAAGACTAGTGCCAAGAGTTATTTAGGAATGAGATTAAAAAGCACCCTGGCCAGACAATTGAAAATAGTTATAAGGACAGATCACCTAAAAAATCTTAATGATTTCCAGAAACTGCTTGGTGATATAAATTGGGTGCGACCCTACCTAAAGCTTACTGATGAAGAGCTCCAACCTCTCTATGCTATACTGAGAGGTGACCCAGATCTAACATCACCCCGCTCACTCACTGATCAGGCAAGAAGGGCATTGGAACTCATCCAATCCTGTTTAGAACTTGCTCAAGTGGATAGAATAAATTATCAGAAACCTCTTTCCTTTATTATGCTTCCCAGCAATCATAGCCCCAGAGGCGTGCTCTGGCAAGAAGAACCCCTTCTGTGGGTGTATTTAGCTCATTCACCAGGAAAGACGTTGATTTGGTACCCACAGTCTATAGCGGACTTAATCCTCAAGGGAATCAAGGTGGCAGTCAAAACCTTTGGAATAGCGCCCTCTATTATCATAACTCCATACTCAGTGTGACACAGAGTGCCTTGCCTCTTGTTGTGACACATGGGCCATTGTACACACCGTCTCTCAAGCCTCCTTTGACAATCATCACCCAAAGCATCCATGGCTACAGTTTTGCTTGTGTAACCCAGTTGTTTTTCCGAGAAACACCAGACATAAACCCATACCTAAAGTAAGAGTACTGTTCATTGATGGTTCTAAAACTGGCATTGGGGCCATAGTCACTGATGATGGCTTGTGGACCTTCAAGTTCACAACCACCTTGGCCCAACAGACAGAACTATTGACAGTGATGCGAGCATTTGAGCTCTTTCCAAAGCAACCCTTTAACCTTCTATCAGACAGCCAGTATGTAGTGAATGCTGTCTCTGCAATAGAGTGCGCAGGTCACATTAACCCCTCCTCATCCATTTTAAATATTCTTAGATGCCTACAGCACACCCCTTTTTCATTGGACATATAAGAGCTCATACCTCCCTTCCGGGGCCCCTCGCCGAGGGAAACCATCGTGCAGATTCCCTGACTAGGGAATCTACTATGTTTGTGGTAACAGACCCTGCGGAACAGGCCAATCTATTTCACAAGAAATTTCACGCTAATGCCACTACCCTCCGCCTGAAGTTCCAGATCACTAGAGAAAAGGCGAGAGCCATAGTGGTCAGCTGCAAGTGGTGTATATCACTTCTTCCCCATACCCCCATAGGGGTTAACCCAAAAGGATTGCTTCCCAACCACATTTGGCAAATGGATGTCACTCACATCCCCGAATTTGGCAGGATGAAATATGTTCATGTGTCTGTGGACACCTGCTCAGGTGTTATCTTTGCATCCTGCCACACGGGGGAGAAATCTTGGGATGTCATTTCCCATTGTTTGCAAGCATTTTCGGCCTGGGGAAAGCCCAAGCATCTGAAAATGGACAGTGGGCCAGTGTATTCATCCAAACCATTCCTTACCTTTGTCAAAACTCTAGACATCAAACATACTACCGGCATTCCGTGCAGAGGGGCACGGCCAACAATCCAATCCAAAACACATGCCTAAAGTTTTGTGGAAGGATGTGTTGGAAGGAACATGGAAAGGCCCAGACTCAGTGATAATCTGGACCCGAGGCCCGGTTTGTGTTTTTCCACAGGACCAGCAGAACCCCGTTTGGGTGCCTGAAAGTCTGATATGCAGAGTTGAAAATCCCGGAGTGGAGGTACAAGATGATCGCACTGCTTCTGCTCCTGCCATGGATCCTACAGCAGGCGACGGTGGAGTCGAGCTGCAGCTGCAGCCACCGCCGCGCTGACTATCACCATTCCTACGGCAGAGATGCTGAATGGTCTGTCCCAGGCCACTGCCTCAGCAATGACAATGCAGAACGTCATCAAAGGCCATTTTAAGAATGGGATGGCCTTGGTCAACCAACGCATGAACCTTCTTCAAGAACAATTGGCCCTCTTGGGGGAGGTTTTGTCTGTGGGCTGCGTCCATTCTTATATGGGGGTGTATTACTGGTATTCCTTTTCATAATTATTCTAAAGCTGCCAACTTCTCCAGACAGGCAAGATGTTAACCACAAATTGGTCCAGTGAGCTTGATGAGCTCACCACTCAGCTACTGTTAGAAATTTTGAATGTTAGCTCCAAGAAGGTAGAGATGCTATCCGTAGCTCAAATAGCTGAAGCTGTGTTAAACGCCACCAAAGCCTGGTCAGGTGTAGGTGTCATAGGAATATTGCTAATTATGGGCCTCCTCCTGCTTGGGAGGAAAGTCTGTTCCATACAAAAACAGCAACGGGGAGAATGGAAGGTCCTGTTGCAGGCCATGGCAGCGCTAGAGGAAGGCATCTCCCCTACAGTATGGCTTAATATGCTGGATCAGTAGTCAAGGACGGGTAAGATCGGGAGCTGCACATATCAACCTAAGACAGGGTGAAGACCTAAGTTGTCTGTTGCCTGAGGATGGGTAAGAATGCTGCAGACTCCGGACGACCTAAGACAGGCATGATCCTGACAGCCCTTTGGTTATAAAACAATAAAGGGGGAGATGTGGGGGCCTGGCCTACGGCCAAGGCTGAGCCCCACTCTAGCTGGACAACACCCTAAAGATGGCGCCTGCTTCCTAGACACCACCCTTTCTGGCCCTACAGCTCAGCGCAAAAGGAAGTCTCCATGATTGGCTTGTCCCCATTTCCATGCTCGTGTTCATAGCATGCTTTTCACATGCTTCCAGAAAGACTGAACCTGGCGCATGATCATTCAGCTGATTGGTTGGGATATGCTATATAAGCTGCTGCCCTGGAGGAAGTGGGTGTGCTTGTTGTTTTTTGCTTTTGCCTTTCACTAGATGGATGCTCAGGTGCCCATAATAAGGAGTCCTAACGAACCAGGCCTTCGGTGATCATTCTCCTGCCATCGCCCTAGGTGGCGGGACGCAATAGAAAAAAAAAAAAAAACACCAAAATTTTTAAAAACACAAAATATTGAGCCAGGCATTAATTCCCTATTTACTCTGTAACATTCTCTGTGAGCAGGCAGTGTTTTAGGGGTCAGAGGTGAAGGTTGTCTCAATTTCCTGGGCTCAGTTGAGAAAAGCATTAGTGAGCATATCTGTAAAGATTTTAAGAGAGCTGCTCTACAAATAAAAGGGATTATTATATAAGCTTATACCATATGATTGTGAAGTTTCCCAAAGAAACAGCAGATGTGACACATTTTTGCCCCCCCCTGCTCCAAACAGCCAAACCTCAAGTTTCTAACCACTGACAAAGGAGACATAAAAAAAAAATGCAGTATCCTTTCATCCATCCTAATGGGGAAGTTAGTCCAGAGAAAAGAGGTGACCATAATGTGAGTTATCTCTGTCTGTAGGCCTGCTAGATTCCTGGAGTGTGATGACCTTTTTCCAAACATCTTTTTAAAATTAGTCTCCAAATGTCCATTACCTGTGAATGAATGAATGGTCCTCAAAGATGTAAGAGACTTCAATGGCTACATCCTATGAGAGAAAAGGACAACTGTCAACCTAGATCATACCAACTCATAACTACCTCCATGCCTACACTTAGTCATACATTTTACTCCTACATTTCTGCAATTCATCTTTCTTATGAATTGGGAGTCTCTAGATGGTAGTTCTTTTTTACTTCAAACTTTTGTTTCCCAAAGGATATTTTTGACAACAAACACCTTAAAAGTCTCCACAAAGTTAGAAACAAGTCAGGAGAGGCTTATGCTCCTTGTTAATAGAACTATAAGTCAGTCATTTACCTTCTTTCCATGTTTCAGTTTGCTCAACTGACAGTATCTACTTCACCTCTTAGGAATGGCATAAGAATTAAATAATACAGATGAACAAGGTTCAAAAACACTTATAAAGCAGCATCAAAATGTAAGTTGTAATACTACCTCACTGATCCCACCCATTCCCCCTTCAAAATTATACTTGCCATTGTGAGCAAGAGCCCTTCTCCTAAGCCCTCTCTCTGTATGGTCTCTGGTCATGGTCTTGCTTACCTCCACCAGCCTTACTACTGATTTCTAACCCTGCCAGTTAGCAAGACAGCCGATGACAGGACATGTGATCAGGAGAAGTGAGAGCTCCGCATATTTTACCTCTTTGGATTTTCCAGGTTCCAAACTCTGAATAGATAAGTTTCTACTAGGATGGGATGAATATAGGGTGTAGTTAGCTCACTTTTTGGTCATATATAAATAAAGCCTCAGAGTCAGGCTAAGCCTCAAATAACTTCTGTGAAAGAATATAAAGAAGAGAGGGGAAATAACATGTTTAGATGTGCTGTGTTCTAGGCATTATGCTTGGTACTGGCCTTGCAAACCAGTCTTCAAAAGCAAACCAGTATGTGCTCCTTTCCTGCCCTGTCCTCTTTGGTGAGCCTCGAATGAGAATGGAGAGTTCTGCTGAGGTCACTGATGACCCCTTCTTTGTAAAACTTAAGTCATATTCCTGTCCTCATCTTGCTTGGCTTATCTGCAGCACTTGCCATAGCTGATTACTCACTCCTCCACGACACATTCCATTTTGCTTCTAGAGCAGCATACTCTCCCAGTTTTCCTTCTGCCTCACCATTGCTTTTCAGTCTCTACTGGTTTCTCCTCCTATTAACCTCTTCACGATGGAATGTCCCAACACTCGGGCCTTGGACCACCTCCTCCTTACTCACACTTCCTTGAGGTTATGATCCCCAAATTTGCCTCTCCAGCCCAGATCTCTGAGCTGGGATGTTTGACAAACATTTCACTTCCTGTATTCAAAACTGAATTTCTGATTTTCCCTTCCAAACCTGGCCTACCTGCATCTTTCTCACCTCAGCTGATATCTAAAATCCTTGGCATCATCCATGACTCTCTCACATCCCTCATTCAGTCCATTAGGAAATCCTGCTGGCCTTACCTTCAAAAATAGGTCCTGAATCTAACAATTTATTTCCATTCCACTTCAACCACCCTGGTCTAAGACACCAACATCTCTCACCAAGTTTATTCCAATAGCCTTCTAATCCATTTTTCTGCCTCCACCTTTGTCCTCTTCACGTGTCTTTTTGATACAATAATAAGCCAGAGTAAGCCTTATAAAATGAATTTATGTCACTTCTCTGTTTAAAATGTTTCAGCATGTTTCCCAAACGTCAGAGTGCATACACATTACTTGGTGATCATGTTAAAAGTAAGGTTCTGTTTCAGCAGGTCTGGACTGGGGCTTGAGACTGCATTACTAAGAAGCTCCAAGGCAATGCTGATGCTGCCAGTCCACTGACTAAGCTTTGAGTAGTGAGACCCACAAGGCCTTCTATGATTTGCCCTTTGCTATTTATGCTTTCACACTACTCCTCCCTCACTTACTTTGCTCCAGCCACTCTGATCTTGCTACTCTGTAATAATCCGGTTATAGTCCTGCCTCAGAGCCGTTGCACTTGCTGTTCCCGCTGACTGGAACACTTCCCTAGGTATGTGCATGGCCTGGTCTCCCACCTTGTAGATCACACTTTCTGTTCAAACCCCATGTTTTTCTACATAACATTTTATCACCTTCCGGTAGTCAATATAATTTTTATCTTCTTACTGTCCATTCCCTCAACCAGAAACTAAGCACCACAAAGACAGGGATTTTTGTCTTGCTGTAAAACAAGGCCTGGCAAACAGGCACTCAAGAAATACTTGAGGCAATGACTGCATGTAGCTACTAGATATACCAAAATTATGAAATACATTGATAGCTGGTATGAAAGGAAATAAAATAACATCTATCAATCCTGTGTAAGGGTCCTCAGAGGAGCAGGGCCAGTACCAAGTATAATGGATTGGTACTGGCCCTGGGTCTCAAAGAATTCATGGTGAAAAAGGCATCAGCACCAACTTGTGTCATGGGTCTTGGAGCAGTTGGAATGCTCCAACGTACACAGTAAATGTAGTGGGAGCTGTAAATCAGATCTTTCCTCTCTATAAGTTCTGTGTAGTGCACCCAGTTGTCTTGATGATCCCAAGTCTGTTTGGTAGAAAAAAGAAAGTATACAGAGAAACAAAAGCAGACTTACATTCATATCTTCAACAGCAGTGCACAACAGTAGGAGTTATAGCCTTTCTTCTGGAGTCCATTTTTAACATTTTTTATTGGGATTCAAACTATAGGGACATCCTAATTATTTCCACAAATGAAGGAGAAAAAAGGTAGAGCTAAAATGAAATGAGTAATGCAGACATGACTAAAGATTGGGCTTTGAATGCAGAGGTGCACACTCAGATGTGTATGTGTACATACACACCGCACACACACTGACCTTCCAGACCCTTACTTGGGAGGGAAGGGAGACCTACAGGTGTGACTAGAAAGTCATAAGACTGATTTCACTAGCTGTTTTTGAAAGTCCGACTCACTTCATTACAGCCATAGGTCGCTGGTCAAATAAGGACAGAAAAGGTGTGAGTCAGGCAATAGATCACCTAGATCCCTCACACCTGTGTCTCCACCCTGGAGAAGCCTCCCCCTGTAAGGCACAATCTTGCTAGCATCTGGGTCTCACAGAAGTCATAATGCAGCCCTACTTTTGAGCACAAGGCTTGAATACTGCAGGTATTCAACAAGTTCAGTTCAACTGAAACCCCTTGGGCTGGCTATTGGAGCACAGGAAGCTTCTAAATGAAAAAATATCCGGAAGATGAAGGTTCACATATGGAAGTAGAGTTGTCTTAACAATCCCAGTGATATGAAGAAGATTAGTGGGAGGAGATGGTAAAAAGATTTCTGGCCCTCTTAAAAAAAAAGATTGATCTTCTGCCTCAGCTTACTCTATTTCAAACAAACACCCAGTTGGCTCTTTCAGTCAGCCAGAGTGGAGCACCAGACTCAAGATTCCTTGAGATCAGGGACTATGGCTTATGTAGATTATTCCTTTTAATGAAGGAGTCTGACAGTCAGACCCTGGAGGCACATTGGAGCATGTCTTTCTTCCGTCCTTTCTACATAACTCAACATAATTTTTCAGCCCTAATGTTTAATCTATCACACAATCACAGACTTTGTAGCATCGGAATGGTCCCTAGAGAGCATTGAACAAAGGCCCTTACTTTGTAGATGAGGATATTAGGGCCTAGCATGGGAAGGGACAGTCCAAAACAACAGCAGGGACTGGGACCCAGGGCTCCCAAGCAGCCAGTTAGGGGCTCTCTCACCACCCCAACAGAATTCTCAACTCCAAGATTTTCATCCTCTTAACTTGGTGTCTTAGTGGAGTTTTTTCCCCCCTTTTAACTAAGGCAGCCTTAGA